ACATGCAGACAAATAGAGGCTTCTCTACCAGTAGGCAGACTCTATGTTTCTGACTAGTCACTTCTCCTTCCTACCAAGTGGGAGTGAGACATGTTAGACCCCACGATGCATCAGACACAGGAGGGATGGTGTATCAGTCTGTTCTCACACTGCTATAAAGAAACATCTCAAACTGGGCATTTTTTATAAAGGAAAGAAGTTTAGTTGGCTCACAGTTCTGCAGGCTGTACAGGAAGCATGGCTGGGGAGGTCTCAGGAAACTTACAATTATGGAAGAAGGCAAAGGGGAAGCAGGCACGTCTTACGTGGCTGGAGCAGGAAGAAGAGAGAGTAGGAAGCTGCTACGTACTTTAAACAACCAGATCTCAGTGATAACTCATTTAGCATCGGGAGAATAGCACCCAAGGGGAAATTCACCTCACGATCCAATCACCTCCCACCAGGCCCCACCTCCAACATTGAGGATTACGATTTAACATAAGATTTGGGTGGGGACCCAATTCCTATCACATGGATTTAGCCCAGGGACCAAAGGAGGGCTTTGTGGAAGTAGTCAGCTTTAATTTAGGGAGGAGTTTTCCTGGAAGGTTGAAGAGCACACTTGGAAGATGGGGGGAGATGCCAAACATTTTGGGGTATATTCAGGGCAGGGCAGAGGAGGAGAGGGGGTTGGACCAGAAGGGATAAGAGATCCTCGCAGGTGGACATCACAGTTGCACATGCTCTTGGCCAGGCCCTTCACCAGTGTCAAGGTGAAGTCCTGGGTGAGTGTCCCAGGAGAACCACAGGAAGAAGTACCTGAGCCATGGAAAGTCTTATTTGGGGGTCCTAGAAAGGCCTGGACACCTGAGGCAGCCACTGCTGTCCTGCCTGTAGCAGGTGATTGCAAGGTGCTCGGGTGAGAGCCCCAGCTACTTGTCCAGGAGTCTTGTTCTCTCTGACTTGTTTCCTATGTGTAAATGGGGGTGACGGGACCAACAGGGCATGTTGTGAAGACCAAATTCAGTTCCTTCAGAAAATGCTTCACATTATGCCTGGCACATGCTAGCAGCCCAACAGAGCAGATGTGACCAGGATTGAGTCTGGAAACCTTGGGTGAGCCGCAGGGGCTCCTGATCATGGTATTTTCCAACTATAGGGGGCCCCCACCCACTTTACAGGTAAACAGCTGCAGCACTGTTTCCTGATCCATCCATGGACTGACCTGGTGTGACTCAGTCCCAGGCTGGGTGCTGGCCTAAAGAGCTGTGGCCACGACAGCACCTGGCTCCAGTCCGGCTTACAAGAGTTAATCAGCTCCACTTCTTGCCACAGAAGTGGCTCAAGCCTCAGCTACTTCTCCAGAAGTCTTATTCTCTCCGACTTGTTTCCTCTCTGTAAATGGGGATGACCTGCTGTGGGCATGTTGTGAAGACCAAATTGAATTCCTTCAGAAAATGACGGAATTCCCTAAACCCACGCTCTGGGAAAATACACTGGCACTCTGAAACTGGCCATAGTGGGAGTATTTATATCAAGGTGATCTGCAAATTCTTGGAATTGGGTCCTGCTATTCCCACCAAGAGCCAGATGTTAAACATTTACTGGCAGCCCACTGCCGGGCCTGGGGCCACATAAGCAACCCTGACCCTTCCCTGAAATGTGGTTTATGGACCAAGCCTTAGCCTTGCTAGGGAGCTTTCTAGAAATGGACAATCCTGGCCTCCCCACAGGCGTCTGGATCAGAATCCCTGGGAGTGGTGTCTAGCAACTTGCAGTTTATGAAGCTTCTCAGGTAGGCTACAGTTTGACATGTGATGCTCTAAGCAATTTGGGGTAAGCAGTACAGGCCGCTGAGACAGCTGGCTTCCTGTCCCAGAGAGCAGAGCCTCTGCAGGGACGTGGAGCGTTCCAGACTGAGAGTGTCACTGTGAGAAAATTTAAGAGAAAAAAAATCTGTATTTCCACCAGCCACACAACTGTTCTCCATGTTTCTTCCATGCATGTGTTTATATAAAATACATTGTTAGTATATTTGCTTTTTACACCTTAGTATACACACTTGCATCCCCGATTTCTTCCTGAACAACCACTGCCGTAGATTTTGACATGGTTGCCGAAGACATGCTGACTTTTTCAAAAAGAGATTTTGTGAAGTTCTTTCAGCTGCCTTTTATTTACTTTCCTAGCACAAGCACGCAGGGCTGTGCAGAGATGATCAGTACCTGGAATGTAATCTTCAGAATTAACATTCCTCGTGCCGGGCCTGGGCTGGGTAGCAGTAAGAAAACAAGCCTCTCTAGTCAGAGGCAGAATCCCACGGAGAGGGGCACAGACCCCTAATCCGTCTTATTCTGGGAAGTATTTTGGCACACCCTGGCTCTGCAGTTTATAAACAAGTTCTTTGTTTGCTGGGGATATTTGCGGCTCTGCTTACAAGGAAGTTATACAGCGTTCTGCAGCCTTTCATAATGTGGTTAATTTTTACCTTCTGGTAAGGGATGGGTCTGTAAACTGCCTGGGCTTGGGGCAACACAAATCACTTCTTAAAGGTGACTTTACTGTGCAGTGAAAGGCTTGGGAAAGCCTCTAGCATCCTCTGGCGTCATTTCTTCTGTGGCTTTTCTTAAGACCTTGTTCACTCACTCAATGAATATTTATTGGATGGCTCCCGTGACTCCATCACATCACAGAGGTTGGGCTGTGGCGACACAGAGAAACTGGAGAACAATGAGCAGGTCTTCTAAGTGCTTGTTTGGCCTATGAGGTAGTCAGGAGAGTCAGAGAGTGCAACAGAGAGAAGGCACATTTGGCCTGGCCTTGAGGGAATGGTGGGAGTTTTCCCAGCAACAGCAGCATCTCAGGTGGAGGAAATATCTTGTGTAAAGGGATGGGGCACAGGAGGAGGTCCTCATGAAAGTATTTGGAAGGCAGGGGGAGGTTTGAAGCTGTGTGGCAGGAAATACTGGACAACTGGCCAAGGTAGGTGGTCAAGCACCTACTGTGCAGGTGGACTGTTTGGTCTTTATTCTGCAGACACATGGCTGAGAGGGCGCCATCCACAAGACACACACCCTCCTTTTGTCTGTGCACCCACTAATCCATCCATACACCCAGCCACCAATCCATCCTCCGCCCGGCTTTCACCCATCTATCTATCCACCCACCCAGCCCAAGTATCCTCTGCACCAGGCACAGGATTTCTTCTTGTTTCTTTTTTCTTGGATCCTGAGGGTCTTGAGGTTTCCCTAGCAACCTCTTGATACATATTCAACTCTAGAACTATCAGCCCCACTTGCATCCCTCTGCAGACTATTCAGGTGATGGTGGTGTTATAAACAAGGAATTAAGCAATCATGTGACAGTGAGGCTCGCCTGGCCTGATGACTGGGAAACATGTACCCAGGCTAAAGGTGTCATGGGTAGGTCTACCAGGCACAGAATGATGTGGAAATCTCACTCTGACAAGTAATTCTTTCTAAGAGTCAGTTATAAAGCTGTTAGAGCACATGGCAACGCTTTTAGAGCATATGGCGACATACGCCCTTCACATAATTACGGTGTATTTATGCACTTCAAATTTAAAACAGGAATCCGGAAATTAAGAATGTACTATTTAAAAAACTCTATGAATTAACCTTTTGTTGATTTGGTTTTGAGCCAGTAGGGGCGAGGGGAGGAGGGAGCAGTGTTTAGGTCTTGGTCTTCTTAAATGGGTCAATTTTTGTAAATACTTTGGTTTAACATTTTTCATAATCTTTTGTGGTGGAAAAAAACATGGTGATTATAGAAGTCCTAATACACACACACACACACACACACACACACACTTACACACACAAAGTCACACACACACATACGACAAATAAACAAAAATCACCCAGAAATACTAACAATTTGATGTCTTTTTCCCATTCTTTTCTCTGCATATTTTAAGCAATTGTTTTAAAGTGTCAAATCCATTTTATATAGCTTTGAATCTGACTTCTCCTCCACTTAATATAGGATATAAGAAAATACCATTTTTTTTTTTGCAAATGCCACTTTAATGGGTGCGAAGAACCCTACTGAACGGATGCTCTATAATTAGACCATTTCCCTTTGTTTGAGGGCTTAGGAAGTTGCCAACGTTTTGCTCTCATTAAATGATGGTGACCATCCTTCTGCCTCTGTCAGAACTCTGACAATTTCCTTTAGATACATACACCTCTAGAAATGAGACAACCGAGAAAAAAAAAATGTTTTAAATGCTGAGACTTAAATTCCTCTTGCCACATTGCCTTCCAGAAAGGTACTTGGGCTTCATGAGGTTCTTTGGCAAGTGTAGAAAGTGTTCCCAGCTTTCCGCAACGCTAGGAGCGTGCAGTAAGAGCGCGTGGCTGTCTGTCCCCGGAGCGTGCAGGATGCCTCAGAGGAAATATTTATTTAAGAAAAACAAAACAAAACATAGAATGATTTGCCTTTCCTGCTTTCTGTCATTCCCAACACAAATCAATCTCCGTATAAAAAATTTAAAGAAATGCCTCAAGATCCTCTTGACCTTTCAATCCATGCTGATTTAAGTTTCGGACCTGAAAGTTCTGTAACGAGTTTCAGTTGAATAAGACAATTTCCTACTCACTTTTGACACCTAAACGTAAGGTTTACCCACTAAGAAGTCAGACCACTGCCAGTTCTCCCGAGGGAGGAGACAGCGTCCCCTGCGCTCTCAGAGCCGCAGCCGGGCCAACGGGGGTGCGGGGTGGGGACACGGCCGACCCCGGAATGGGGCGAGGGGTTGCCGAGGACTTAAGAGGGCGGCTTGGGAGACAGCTCCGGCCCGGAACCAGGTGTCCTGGGAACGCTCCCGGGTCTGTGGCTTCGGACAGATCACGCTCACTCTCCCAGCCTCAGTGTGTTGTTCTGTAACTTGGGTCCAACCCCGGTGCGCACCGACCCAACGCCGCTCTGCACGGAAAGCGCCCGCGGGGACGCGCGCAGAGCGGAGCCGGGGCCGCGGCCCAGGCGCGGCGCGCACTCACCTCCGCCGTACATCTGGCACAGGTAGGGGAAGCGCCACACGTTGCCCAGGCCCACGGCGTACGAGATGCAGGCGAACACGAACTGCAGCGGGTTGGCCCACAGCGGCCGCGCTTTCTCCATGGCCCCGGCCTCGGCGCGCTCGGCTCCGGCTCCCGCTCCGGCTTCCGGCTCGGCGGTCTCGGTGCGCGGTTACCAGGCGCGCCGTCCCGTCCCGGTTCGGCCTTGGGGTGGCCCCGCGCGCCTCCGCCGCCGACGCAGCTAGCCGGGTTTTAAATTGCTAATCTCATTAACGGCGCGCCCGTTCGAGAGGCGAGGCTGGTAAATGGATGACGGCGAGCCCCACCCCGCCCGGCCCCCGCGGCCGGGAAGGCCCCCGAGATTGCAGGGCACGGGGCGGCGTCCCCGGGGGTCCTCCGGCTCGGCAGGGCCTTGCCCCTGGCTGCGGAGCTCCTCGCAGTGGGCGCCTTCCCTCTGCCACTCACCTGTCATTTATCAAGCGCCTACTGTGTGCCAGGCATTGTCTGGGGACACGGCTGTGAACCACATCCCGGCTCCCTCTTGAAGCTGACATTCTGGTAGAGGAAAACACTTAAATTGGACTGCGTGAAATGCCCCATTTTCAACCATTTTTTATTTATAGAAAGGATGATGTCTACCGGGTGCGGTGGCTCACGCCTGTAATCCCAGCACTGTGGGAGGCCGAGGCGGGTGGATCACGAAGTCAGGAGTTCGAGACCATCATGGCCAACATGGTGAAACCCCGTCTCTACTACAAATACAAAAATTAGCTGGGCGTGGTGGCGGGCGCCTGTAATCCCAGCGACTGGGGAGGCTAAGGGAGGGGAATTGCTTGAACCCGGAAGGCGGAGGTTACAGTGAGCCGAGATCGTGCCACTGCACTCCAGCCTAGTTGACAGAGTGAGACTCTGTCTCAAAAAAAAAAAAAAAAAAGAAAGAAAAAGAAAGGACAATGTCATATGGTTCAACCTATCCCACATATAAGACTGGGAGACACGGGGAAGACAACTAAGGCAAAGTAAAGGGGTGAGCAGTTCCGGCGGGGGGAGGGGCGGTCCGGGATGGTTAGGGAGGGTTTCTCAGAGGAGGGGACATAACATTTGTCAGGTACCAGAAGGAAGTGAGGGACCTTCCTGGCAGTCCCATTCCCTCCATCAACCCAACAGCTTGGCCCTGCGCGCTTGCTGGGTGCAGTAGACTCCACCACAGGTTTTGAACTGCTGTGGAGGACTCGACTGCTCACACCAGCCTAGGGGCCAGAAATTTTGATTCATTAGACCGGGGTGGGGAACTAAGAAACCTCGTATATCTGCCAGTCTTACAATGTAATTTGCTTGGGGGTGGTCACCAGACACGACAGAACTTGGTGCTTTGCAATAATGTGGGATCTGGGTTTGTATTCTGACTCTGCTACTGACTTAGCTGTGTGAACTTGGACAAGGCACTTGGACTTCTCTGAATCTCTGTGCACTCCTCTGCAACGCCAGCAGACATCTTCCCCTCTCTCCTACTCGGCAAGGAAGGGCTCATGTGAGAATTAATTGGGAATAGCTTACTACCTGGCACAGAGTAAGTTCTCAGTAAAGACGCCATTATCAAGTCTCCAGCAGGCTGAATGAATGGGCAACACATTAATACTAATGCCAGGCTTTGAACAGTGCCTGGTACCTTGTAAGAGACAAGAAAATGCTAAATAATAATAATAATAAAATTTAAAAGAGACGAAAAGCAGAGTTGCTAGTGAAAATCTTCCTTGAAGCCAAAATGAAATCAGTGCTCTAGGACAGCTCCTAGTGGGGCTTTCCCTGGAGTTCCTGCCTACCTGGTCACAGAGGAGAAGGGTGGGCAGGGTGAGGGAGGTGGAGGGTTCCTCAGACATATTACCTACCTTGGAACTTCCTACCCTGAAAAAGCAAAGCAGAAAAAAAGACAGCACAGCAGGAGAAACTACTTCAATTTTTTAAACTTCAGATTCTAGATAAATGTTTTTCTTACCCATTACCTCCTCGCCAAAGGAACCTTCCATTCTTGTGTCTATCCCCATGGGTTAGTTTTGACCTTGATGAAAATGGAATCAAATGGGATGTACATTTTTTGTGCCTGGATTTAGTTGTTTGTGGGGTTCGTTCATGTTCTAGTGCGTTGTGTAGTTGTGGTGTGAGTATGCTCCAAGCTACTACTGATGGATGTTTGTGTTGTCTCCAGTTTGGGGCTGTTGTGAATAGAGCTGTAATGCCTGTTCTAGCGCATGCTCTTCACAGACGAATGCACTCGCTGCTGGGAACTTCTTGGCATTAGGATAGATGTGTTTGGCTTTAGAGGATATTGCCAAACTGTTTTCCAGAGTGGAAGTACCAGTTTACGCTGCCTTTGGGTTTCGGTTACTTTGCCTCCTAACATTTGTCATTCTGTTTTTAAAGTTCTGCCCAGACTCCTGGGTGTGTGTTGATAGTTCATTGTGCCTTAACTTCCTTGATGACCATTGTATAGGCTAACTGGGCCGTCTAGGTATCTTTTTTCATGAGGTGCCTATTCACATTTTTGGTCAGTTTTCAATGGGGTTGTCTATCTTTTTCCTGCTGATTTGTAGTTCTTTACACACTCTGGATATGGGTCCTATGTCAGCTTAGTGTATTACACATTTCTTTTCTCAGTCTGTGTTGCCTTTGATTCTGTCAGTGGTGTCTTCTAATGAAGAGATATTTTTAACTTTAATGAAGTCCGTTTTCCCAACCTTTTCCTTTAGTGTCCTGTTTAAGAAATCTCTCCTTTATCAACTCTAAGGCCATGAAGATATTCCTGAGAATTTATAAGATTCAGGCAAAGTAAGTCTCAGCCATTCATAGATAGGGCTACCCACCCTCCCCCTGCAAAGGACCCCTCACAGCCATGGCAGCAGCTGGAGTGCCAGCATTTTCTTGTGCTGGTTCTCAAGGCTCCAATTCGATGGGGCTGCCTTTTTAATTTGTTGTATTGTTTAGACAGAAGGCCTGTTGCTGCCTCCAGCTATCTATTTGCATGTTCTTTTTCTCATATATGAGTTATTCCTAGAGGGCACGTGGCTATGGAATGACCTTCAGGAACTGGACACCTTGGAGAGATGCCTCACCTGGACCATGAGGTTGCTGGGACTTTGTTAGTTTGATGGAGGCAAGGGCTCTCTTTAATTCCCTACCCCTGGGATCAGGCCAGCATCTCCTTGCATTCACACTGCTATACTCCCTGGGAGCCCATGCAGTGTGTGAAGCCCTGTGTGGTAGCTTTGGGCAGCACAAAGAATCACCCAGATAACCCCAAACAGCAGTAAGTAAATGCAATGGGGCAGATGCTCAGGGCTCCTGGTAAGGTCCCCATGACTTCCTGAAGCCCATGTGACAGCTCTAATCGGACAGGGTCAGTCGTGCTGCTGGGACTCCTAGAGTGGAGAGGACAGGCTTAGAAGGGCTGGGGGACTTCCATGGAGAGTCAGCAAGACAGAGAGTGAAGAGGAGCGGTAGCTGGCAGGTGTGTAACCACTGGCTCTCCGCAGAAAAAGCTCTGATTTGTAGCATTTGCCAATTTCTGTGGTGTAAACACTCTTACTAAGACTGATTCTTTTTTTTTTTTTTTTTTT